ATAATCAACACAATTTCGAGTATATTTGTGTATATATTTTATTTGTTTATTTATTTTAAAAATATATATTTATTAGAAAAAAACAATAGACTTGAAAATAAAAACAATTTTGATATATAAAAAATTATTTATAATTAAATTATAAAATTCATTTACTTAAATAAATGACAATCTGATGTTTGTGGTGTATCGTGACAAGAAGTTCAAAAAATATAATTGTTTTATTTTTTCACAATTTTAAATATTTAAAATGATTTATATTTTAACAAATGACAAGTTTCTTTTTTTATTTAATATTTTATTAAATTTAACATTGATGTATTTATTTTATTTGTTGTGTTTTTTTAAAACAAATTTTAAATAATTATTTATGACAAACAAATATATATATTAAATATGTATGTATGTGAAGACACACAATAAAAAAAAAACAAAACACTCACAGATATATAAACATTATTATTATGTATTATTAAAAAAAATTGTATATATATAAATTTTATAAATAATTTTACTATTGACTAGGGTATTTGTTTGTTTGTGTTGGTTGGTTGGTTGATTGATTGATTGTTCAACATTATTGGTTATAGTTTGTTGGTTGTAATTCACTAGATATGTGTAGGTGTGTTGTGTAAGAGAGTGTGTGTGTGTGAGGAAGATGTACGGAATATTTTTTAAAAAAATATTCTGAGCACTTTGACGAATGTCATCTTTATCTGTTTGACAAGATTTTTGTTTTAAATTGCACTGGTTTCCAATGGTTGTTCTTTAGCAGCAGGGGTTTCTTTCGGGGATTTTGGAATATTTTTTCTTAATTTAATATTTTTTTTACAAAATTGTTTGCTATTTATTTTTTATTATTATTGTTTATGTTTTTTATAAAAATAATATCAACATTTATGTATTTCTTTCTTTTATTCTTAAAATCTTAAAAAAAAAACACTTTTGTTTTGAGTGGCAAACTTTTGTTTTTAGGTTAGGTCCTATGGAAGTACATTTGTAGGTTAGGTATTATCGCACCTAAGGAAGTACATGGATTCTTGAGAGTTTGTCCACCAAACAAGTGTATCATTTTTTGTAGCCTACATTCGAGATTCGTTGAATGTCAAAAATGGTCCAAAGCTGAATTTCATCCAGACCACTTTTCTAAAGGAGTTTTTTTTCGGAATCCCTTCTTTTGGCAAGATCAGGAAGTAATTTATAGCTATACGTTTACTAAATAAATAAATTTTATGTTTGTTTTATTTTTTATAAAAAAAAGGTCCACTTGGTGATTGCTTTAGTTTGTTCGCTTGTTTTTGTTATCTTCTTAGTATTTCTACAGGTCTCCGGGCCTTTTAGGCTGTGTACAACTCCACACACCGATTGGTGGTGACGGTGAGTGATGGTGGTGTTGCCACCACCACACCATTACTGTTGGAAGTTGTTTTTGTATTTTTGGTTGTAATTTTGGTTATTTTTACACTGGCTTTAAGATTGACACTACGTTCTCCGGCTGCCGGTGCATTGGTATCGATGGCAAGTAATGGCTGCTGCTGCTGCGGCTGGTGAACAACTGGCGGCGTTACTGCGTTGTGGCCAGGCATTGTGGGTGTGGTGGTTGGAGCATTTACAATTACCTGGCCATTGGTCAATGCAGTAACAATGGGAGCAACTGCAGTTGTTGGTGACGCTTGTGACAACGTTGTTTGTGGTACTGGTCCAGCTACGGCGCCTGGTGGTGGTGATCCATAATGATGTGGATGATGCTGCTGCTGCTGCTGATGATAGACATTATTTTGAGCTGGACGTAAAGATGGTGATGTTTTTGGCCCTGATGGCGGTGTTAATGCCATCAACTTATTGTTGTTGTTATGATGATGATAGCTATTGGGAGTGTGTGGTCCTTGGAGCAATGCTGGCGATGCAGGATATTGTTTTGGTGGCACTAAAGTCATTGGAGCACCACCAGCACCACCGCCTTTGCTTGGTGACAATATAAGCCCATTTGCAGCATTGGGTGGTATTGCAACATTTGGTGGACTGAGTGGTGATGGTTGGGGATTAGCGTAATTTGTTGGTGGCACAGTGGTTATATAGTCGAGAGAATACTGGAAATAAAAACAAAAAATATTGTTAATTTTTTTTAAGAACTGCTAACGCTTAGATTTAAAACCAGTAAGGAAAGTATTAAAGTCGGACGGGGCCGTCTATATGATACCCTTCACCACTATGGGTATATTAAACAAATGCATCCTAACAGAAGGGCCATTTACATGAAATTGAATGATCTAAAATATGAGACCTTTATTTAAATGTCAATCGACTTAGACCAATCCATAATCATGCCATTCGTTTACTACAATGGAACAAAATTATGTAAATCGATTTAAAGCAAATATCAATCGGGCACCCGTTGAATATTTGGAGGCCAATTAACACGAAGTCGGTCGGAAATATATATGGGCTACATCTGTACTTCTACACGCAATTACGTCATTCTAATTACGTCAGTCTAAAAACATGAAGAGTTTGGTTCAACATTTACTTAAAATCGGATGAAAATAGATATAGAAGCTATATCCAAACATAAACGGATTTCAACGAAACTTGTCACACGTTAGGTTAGACTAAGTTATGCACGTTTTGTTCCTAACGGGCATATTTTGGGTCCTTGGGTCCTACTTAAAGTCGGACGAAACTATATGGGAGCTATATCTAAATCTGGACAGATTCCAATGAAACGTGATACACGTTTGGCTATACTATCTTATGTTCGTTGTGCAAAATTTTGTGTCAATCGGCCTAACGTTGAGTCTTTGGTGCACCATTTATTCATAATCGGAAGAATATATATATGAGCTATATCTAAATCCGAACTGATTTCAGCAAAACTTGACACATGTTATGTTACACAAACTTTAGTATTAAAATGGGACAATTTTCAGGAAACTTAGCACACAACATTCTAGACTTAATTCAGTACGCTATGCCAAATATTGTCCAAATCTAAATATATATTGGTACACAATTTTTATATTTAATCGGGGGAAAATATATATGGGAGCTGTATCTAAATCTTAATCGATTTTCACGAAATTTAACACACATCGTTCTAGGCTTAATTTAGAATGCTATACCAAATTTCGTGGAAATCGAAAGATATATAGGGACTTTGGTGCACTATTTACCTAAAATCGGACGAAAATATATATGGGAGCTATATCTAAATCTGAACCGATTTTCACGAAATTTCAGTACGCTGTGCCGAATTTCGAACAAATTGAAGGATATATATGGACTTTGGTGCACTATTTACCTAAAATCGGAGGAAAATATATATGGGAGCTATATCTAAATCTGAACCAATTTTTACGAAATTTAACACACATCGTTCTAGACTTAATTCAGTACGTACGAAAATATATATGGGAGCTATACCTAAATCTGAACCGATTTTTCCCAATTTCTTTAGGGTTCGTCCTTGGGCCAAATAAATGAGCTGTGCCAAATTTCATCAAATTCGAATCAGAAATGCGATCTGTACTTTGTTTACAATTTAACATGGACAGACGGACGGACGGACATGCGTAAATCGACTTAGAACCATGTGTCTATCTCGATTCCTTTTGCCTGTTACAAACACATGCACAAAGACATAATACCCTGTACCACTGTGTGGTATAGGCTATAAAATATACTTATATATATATATATATACTTATATATACTTATATATATAAAATATACTTAAGTATATATACTTATATATAAAAGGCTTTTGTAAAAAAATATTTTTTGTGGAAATAATAACAATACTATTAAAACATTTCATATAAAATATAATTTTTTTAGTCGTATAATTTTGAAAAAAATCTAAAGGGTTATACTAAAATATCAACATTTACCTACCATAGGTGGCCCATGATTGCCAGGAACATGAGTGGGCGAGTGTGTCGGCTGATTGTAATATGTTGTTGGCGACACTGGAGGACTTGGATATGGCCAATAGACAACTGGATGGGGATAGAATGCGGCAGCATGAGGGGGTGGTGGAGGCGGTGCACCAGCTGGATGGGTTGGTCCATGAGGATGATGAGCACGATGAGGAGCAGCCAAAATTGGACCCGGTGGCGGAGGAAATGGACCAAAATGACCAAAGGGAGGACCCAGCACTGAGGCACCTAAGGAAATTAAAAGATAACATTAATGAATGTTCCAAAAAATTAATATAATTAATAATTAATAAAAACATTTTTAAATATTGGATACAAATATTTTTTTAAATTTTTGTAGTTTTGTTTTTTGTTAATTCATATAAAGGGAAAATCTAAAATAGAAGAATGCGGTAAGTAACAAGTGACATGTTTTTCTTCTTTATCAATTTGTAATTATTTTTCTCCTCTTTTTCTTTAGTGATTTCTTTTTTTAAGTTCATCTTCAAAAACAAGTTAATTTTTGGTAAAGGGAAAATGTTATGTGTTATAGATAGAGCATGTAGAGTGTTTTTTTTGATAGACAGAATAGTTAGGTGATTGTATAGATACATAGAAATAATTAAAATAAAAATTATATATTTAAAAAAGCACTCACCGTAGCAAATTTTTTTAGAAAACATTTAAATTAAATATTTACCAGTGACCGACCCACCATGATAATAGAAGACTGAATTGCAATTTGCTTTGCACATTTTTTGTTTTAATTTTATGCCACCAGCACCACCATAAGAGTAGAATTACAACTGACACATTCTGGACCAGATACGATGATGATTTTTATACCCTTCACCACACTGTGGTACAGGGTATTATGTCTTTGTGCATATGTTTGTAACAGGCAAAAATAATCGAGATAGACCCATGGTTCCTTTTGAGAATATGCATAGAATCACTTTCTGAGTCGATTTACGCATGTCCGTCTGTCCGTCCGTCCGTCCGTCTGTCCATGTTAAATTGTAAACAAAGTACAGGTCGCATTTATGATCCGAATTGGATGAAATTTGGCATAGGTCACTTATTTGGCCCAAGGACGAACCCTATTGAAATTGGGAAAAATCGGTTCAGATTTAGATATAGCTCCCATATATATATTTAACCGATTTAATGTAAACAGTCCCTATATAACTTTCGATTTGCACGAAATTTAGTACAGCCTAATCATTTAGGTCTAGAATGATGTCTGCCAAGTTTCGTGAAAATCGGTCCAGATTTAGATATAGCTCCCATATATAGTTTCGTCCGATTTCATGTAAATGGTGCCCCAAAGTCCCTATATATCTTTTGATTTGCACGAAATTTGGCATAACGTACTGAATTAAGCCTAGAGTAATGTCTGCCAAGTTTCGTGAAAATCGGTCCAGATTTAGATATAGCTCCCATATATAGTTTCGTCCGATTTCATGTAAATGGTGCCCCAAAGTCTCTATATATCTTTCGATTTGCACGAAATTTGGCATAACGTACTGAATTGAGTCTAGAATGGTGTCTGCCCAGTTTCAAGAAAATCGGTCCAGATTTAGATATAGCTCCCATATATAGTTTCGTCCGATTTCATGTAAATGGTGCCCCAAAGTCCCTATATATCCTTCGATTTGCACGAAATTTGGCATAACGTACTTAATTGGGCCTAGAATGATGTCTGCCAAGTTTCATGAAAATCGGTCCCGATTTAGATATAGCTCACATATATAGTTTCGTCCGATTTAATGTAAATGGGGCCCCAAAGTCCCTATATATCTTTCGATTAGCACGAAATTTGGTACAGCCTAATCATTTAGGTCTAGAATGATGTCTGCCAAGCTCCGTGAAAATCGGTCAAGATTTAGATATAGCTACCATATATAGTTTCGTCCGATTTCATGTAAATTGTGACCAAAATCCATATATATCTTTCGATTTGCACGAAATTTGGCATAACGTACTGAATTGAGCCTAGAGTTATGTCTGCCAAGTTTCGTGAAAATCAGTCCAGATTTAGATATAGCTCCCATATATAGTTTCGTCCGATTTCATGTAAATTGTGCACCAACATCCATATATATCTTTCGATTTGCCCGATATTTTGCACAACGTACTGAATTGAGCCTAGAGTGATGTCTGCCAAGTTTCGATAAAATCGGTCCATATTTCTATATAGCTCCCACATATAGTTTCGTCCGATTTCATGTAAATGGTTTACCAAAGTCGCTATATATCTTTCGATTTGCACGAAATTTGGCATAACGTACTGAATTGGGCCTAGAGTGATGTCTGCCTTGTTTCGTGAAAATCGGTCCAGATTTAGATATAGCTCCATTTTATTATAGATTGATTTGGAACAAAACGTTCTAAAGTTAGTATAACCTAACCTGTGACAAGTTTGTTTGAAATCGCTTAATATGTGGATATAGCTTACATATATTTTTTCGCCCGATATCAAGCAAATTGGGCATCATACTCCTCATGTTAGTCAGATTGACATCAAATTTTGCACAACGTACAAAATTGAGCATAGAATTACGTAGTTGCGTTTTCTAGAAGTACAGACATAGTCAACCGGATGACCTATTTATATTTGTTTGAAGTCGATTTACACACTTTATGGACAAATCTAGGTAGATTCACATTTAGATAAATATCACATATTTTATTTCATCCAATTTCATGTTAATAGTCCTGTTTAATGTACCCATAGTGGTGAAGGGTATCCTAGAGTCGGCCCCGTCCGACTTTACTACTTTCCTTACTGGTTGTTGTTGTTTTTGTTTACTTGTGGAAATAGTAGTATTAGTGGTAGGAGTAATACTTAGTTTAGTGGTAGTTGACTAAAGTTTTGCTAACTTTTTTTTTAACGAACACATAGAAAATACACGCACAGAATTTAATTAATATATAGATAGCTGCCCATGAATGAGGATCACCTTTGTTTATAATCAACGTGTTTTATTTCAACCAAACCTTCATAAAATGAAAAGCAACCTAAAAGTATATTCCCTGTTTGAAAATGGGTGCAAAATAATTTTTAAGTTATATTAGGAATTTACCGGATTTATAAACATTAAATAATATAAAACGTTACATTGGATTGCAATTCCCTACTTATCTCCAAATAGATCAAATACTTTTAAATTATGTCAGTTGTCGATTCCTTTTAAAAAATGTAGTTAATAAATAATGTTAGAAATGAAAGAATAACTCGAAAACTCATGATTAGAAAATAAAAGAGAATTTAAATAGCCTATATATTAAAGACATCTGAATTTTGATTGAAGATTCTAAATAATCTAAGGCCGTTTCAATAGATACAGAGGCTAAAACCTCTGATGTAATGAAAAAACGGGCGAAATTTTTATATTGGGGATATTATAGATAATTGAACCTATACATACAATGTTTTCCCACTGGAAACCGAAAATAATAAATTGCAGAACTATTTCAGAACATATCGGTTGGAAATCTTTTCGAAATGGCTTAAAATATGTGGTTTTGTCACCCAATCTTAAACAAAATAACAATGTAAAGGAAATAAGAATGAACGTATAATATAATTTCTGCAGGACATTTTTTAGAGCTTGTTTACATTTGTCGTACATACCAAGTCTATGGAAAGAGGTTACCGTGACCTTCATTCCGAAAGCCGGGAAGCCGAGTCATATGTTACCTAAAGACTATAGACCGATTAGCCTTTCTTCATTTCTACTAAAAACTTTAGAAAGGTTACTAGACTCAGAAATTAGGAATACTATTGACCGTAGTAAACTTAGTAAATCCTAGCATGCCTACATCAAAGACAGATCAGTGGATACAGCTCTGCATGAGGTGGTTGGATACATCGAGAAGAATATGGAGTCCTCTGGCTACACGTTGGCAGCATTCCTCGACATCGAAGGAGCTTTCAGTAATGTGAAGCTAGAGGCCATCCATTCTGCTCTCGTGGGCATAGGTATCCCCTCACTCCTTACGGAATGGATTGATAGAATGCTGGAAAGCAGAATTAGCAACTCATCCTTAGGAGAGAGTTCCGTGAGGAAATCTGTCAACAGAGGCACACCTCAGGGAGGAGTACTTTCCCTCCTTTTGTGGATTCTGGTGATAAATGAGATACTTATGAAATTCAATCATCTCAGGATAAAGGCGGTAGCTATGCCGGTGATGTAGTCTTGTTGGTTGGGGGTAAGTTTATAACGACAATATCAGACATCATGGAGAGTGCCCTTTCAACCCTGTCTAATTGGTCTTACACTAAAGGTCTTGGTGTAAACCCTACTAAAACCGAACTGGTGCTCTTCACTAGGAAGCACAAAATTCCTAGTTTCCGTCTGCCATCACTTGGAGGGGTGACTTTAACCCTTTCTGATGAAGCTAAATATCTTGGCACTATCCTAGACCGCAAGTTACTGTGGAATAGGAATGTTGAGGAACGCTCCAAGAAGGGATTGCTGGCACTCTATTCATGCAAGAATTCCATAGGCAAGAGTTGGGGATTGAGACCCGGAATTATACACTGGCTGTATACGACGATTGTCTTACCCATACTTACTTATGGTTGTCTTGTCTGGTGGAAGGGGGTGAATAAAAAGAAACTGCTGACAAAACTGAGCTTAGTACAGCGATCGGCTTTAATTCTGATCACCGGAGCATTAAGAAGTACACCACAGGCAGCCTTGAATGCAATCTTGAATCTCTAACCATTGGATATTCTCATCAAATTCCAGACGGCCAGGTGTGCCCTGAGACTCCGGGAAACAGATGCCTTGAAAGCGCTGAAATATGGTCATGCCAGCATCCTAAACATAACGCCAGGTTATGACCTCTTTAGGGGGGATAGTCATATCAGTGATTATATTCCCCCCACAGGGACTCTAATGACATCAAAGTTGAATTTCCTAGTAGGGAATCCTGGACTAGTGGCTCCCTACCTCTGCCAGGTCTGTCAATCTTCACAGACGGGTCCAAGATGGAGGGAGGCACTGGCGCAGGCGTCTACTGTAGGGAATTAGGTATAAAGAACTCATATAAACTCAACAATGACTGTATCGTTTTTCAAGCAGAGATTCTCGCAATCACGAAAGCGGCCGAGATAGTAAAAGCACTTAATGCCGACATTACGGGACCGGTGACTCTTTATGTAGATAGTCAGGCGGCCCTGAAAGCGATGAAGTCGCATACTATAAACTCGAAAGCAGTTCGTGATTGTAAGACCGATCTGAATGATATACGGCAGATAGTTGGGCTATACTGGGTTCCAGGACATAACGACATTGAACGGAATGAGATAGCCGACGAGCTTGCTCAAGGGGGGTCACAATCGTCCAGTCTTCTGATTGAGAGATCTGTGAAACCCCCCATTAGCTATTTCATTGGCAGAATCCGTGCGTTCCATTGCGAGGTAGTCGGTAACAGATGGCTAAGGGAACCTGCTTGCAGAATCTCTAAATCTATCTGGCCAGAATTCTCTCGTAAAAGAACGTCTTCGCTGCTGGAACACAGCAAGAGGGAGATCAAAATCGTTGTAGGGATTATTACTGGTCACTGCAAAGATAAATCTCTCACTTCTAAGTGGGACTCCAGTGGACAGGATTACTGTCGTCTATGTGAGGACGAAGAAGAACTGGAAACAATTGAGCACATCCTCTGCAAATGTCCATCGCTGATCAGCAGAAGACATAAACAGTTTGGATGTTATGAAATTGATAATCTAGTCTTCTCCTCGAAAATAGACCCTAACCAAATTCTAGACTTTGTCAAAAAAATGACTTGGCTAAAATAATCTCTCTTCAGCCCCTTTCTTCTCACTATTTTCCTCTCTATTCTTCCACTATCTTTTTTCTTTTCTTTATAGGTACACCTATACATAAAGGATGATCACAATGGACATAGTTTCCGAATGGACGGTTGTTACAACAACCGTACATCAATAACCTAACCTAACATGGGGTCTAAAACTAATATTTGCATGAGGAACATTTTCATCGTATCGAAGTGTATATATCCTCATAGCTAGGAGGCTGCATGTCAATTTTATGGGAAGGTAACAGAAAAATTGGACCGATATTACCCATCTCCGAATTTTGGCAGACGGACGAACATTTGTAAATAGAATTGCTCTCAAGAAACTTGGGGTCTAAAACCAATGCAATCGAAGCGTACGACATATTGCTGTCATACCCTCATCAGCCATAAGACTGATGGAATAATGAGTAGTTACCGTATTTTCCAACTAAAATGGCAGTTGTACTCCACATTGTTATAACCTTCACCACTCGGTGGAACAAGGTATGTTTGTAACAGGCAAAAGAAAACGAGATAGGCCCATAGTTCGTTTTGAGAATATGCATAGAATCACTTTTTGAGTCGATTTATGCATGTCCATCCGTCTGTCCGTGTTAAATTGTGAAAAATTTATACATCGCATTTACGGTCCCATTGAGATGAATTTTAGCACAGCTGACTTATTTGGCCCAATGAGGACCCCTATTAAAATTGGAGAAAATCGGTTCAGATTTAAATTTAGCTCCCTTACATATTTTCGTTCGATTTTATGTAAATCGTGCTCCAAACTCCCATGGTTTGTCCTATTGAGGCAAAATTTAGCATAACATATAGATTTGATGAAGTGTGCTAAGTTTCATTAAAATCGGATCAGATAAAAATATAGTTCCCATATAAATTTTCGTCCGATTTTATGTAAATGGTGCACTAACTTTTCATTGGTTTGTTCGATTGAGAGGACATTTTTCATATCGTTTTGAATTGAGTCTGGAATAACGTGTCTTTAATTTTGGAGAAATCGGTTCAGATTTGAATATAGCTCACACATATATTTTCGTCCGAATTCATGAAAACAGTGCACCAAACACCCTACTTTTGGCCGATTGAGGCGAAATTTTGGATAACGTATTGAATTGAGTTTACGATAACGTGTTTTAAGTTTCATTGAAATCGGGTAAGATATAAATATAGCTCACATATATATTTAGTTCCCACATATTATTTCGTCCGATTTTATGTGAATGATACACTAATATCCCAAGGTTTATCCGATTGAGACACTATTTTGTATAGCAAGGTGTGTTGAAATCGTTTCAAATTTCGATATTATCTAAATGGTGCATTAAATACCCAAAGTTTGTCCGATTGCCATGACATTTTCCACAGCGTAGCTAATGGAGATGAAAATTAATTTTTGGTCCTACCGCTTAGTCTATAGAAATGGTGAACAAATGGTCCAGATTTGAATACAGTCAATGTATTATCATCCGAAATTAAAAATACCAACGCTATATAGGTCTGATCAATTGATGCAAACATCCAAGACTACCCTAAAACAATTTCTAATTTTGTCTCCAAGATTTGAACACACATTGTGTTACAGAACATTGATTTTAAAAAATTGGACTGAAGTCGGAGACTAACCAAAAAAAGGCTCGATCCCGCAGTCCAGGATCATGAGAACGATTAAATTTGTTAAGGGAAGTCCACATAAAATCTATCAGTTTAATGATGTTTCAGAGTGGTTGATGCGTTTATGTCAAGAGCTGGAGATTTGTTCCTAATAAATTATTATCTATACCCAATTCTAAATTCTGGATCATATTTCAAATTTGGAAATAAATGATAATTCTATTCCAAAAATGAGAGAATGAGAAACAGCACACCATTAACCCTTAAAATAACCAAACCAATGTAACGTTTAATATTATTTAAATCTTATTAATAACACTTAACTTTACAGCTTCGAAAAGAAATAAATATTATTATGTTAGCACCAATCTAAAAAACATTTAAAAAGAAATAAAAACTAAAGCTAAAAGGAAAATCATGACTTCTGTTTGTTTATTCAAGTGCGGCGATTTTTTTTTCAAGTACCCAACATTTTGGCTGCAAAAGGCGGCACCAAACCTAAAATAACCATCTCACCAAATATGTTACCAATAATAAATTAAGACAGCCATGGCGTGTTATCAGGTTTTGTTCTAGAGTATAATGTGACCGGACGCTACAAGACACACACATACATATACAAAAAATAATAGTAATGATCAATTAAATAGCAAAATATCACTTATTGTAATTAAAGCCACCAAAAACTGAAACCGAATATTGTTTTTTTTTTTGCTGTTGGAGCGGCAACCACCACATTGTTGTTGTTGGTTAAAAAAATTATGAAAATTATCACACATTACGACGTTTTGCTTTGCAAAAAAATAAAAGTAGAAGAAAAATAAGTTTTAAAAAGGACACACACATGTAAGTTAAATAAATAAAAAAAATGCTAAAAAAATATTAAAAGGTAATGAAAAAATGAGATACCCTCCCAAACACGATACCATTCGAAACTATGAAAGAAAGTTATACACAGACACACAAACAAAACTAAATTTTGAAGAGATTTTTTTGTAGTTTTTTTTTTAATGAATGTATATTATTGTTGTTGTTTTTGTTTATATATAGAGTATGTAAAAAATGTTTAAAGAAGAAAAAACACTATGCTAAAAAAATATTGTTTTATATATAAACAATAATTAAATAAAAAAATATTGTCAAAATTATTTTGTTTTTTGTTTTGTAATTAATAATATCAAATGAAAACTTAAATTAAAATGGGGTCAACCATAATTATTTTTTTTTCTTAAAAATAAATTATTTAAATATAACCCTTCTTCCAAATTGCAATACACAAAAATAAAACCATAAATACGCGGTATACATTTTTTAGGACAAGCTAGGATGCCACCTTTAAAGCAATCCTGACTTTAGGCATGGATCAAAGGCAAATTGATTTTTATGAACCTTTACAGGTGATCGTAAATAAAATAATAATTAGACACAATGAATATATTTTTCCAAAATTTGTGCAAATATTTACTGTATCTCATAGTATCTAAAATCATAAGTAATAATAATAAATACCACATTTATACCAAAACCCCAAATTATACCAAAAATATTGTGTATTAAAATCTAGAAGAAGAAATATATTTAAATAAATCAAAAAATGCATAATAAACTTAATAATAATTGAAATAAAAACCAAAATGTTTTATTGTTGTTTTTTTTCGTTACTAAATTCTAATTGTTAATTACTCTATTGAAAGCATTTCCGTATTTTCGTAATAAATTCTTCTTGTTGTTATGAATTCTTAATGAAATCCTTTTTTTAAGATGTACTTTAAGTACAATTAAGTAAATAATATTAAGTATAACAAAATTCACTCCCAATATATTGAACAGACATACACGCATGGGTTTTATTTATGTGCAAACAATGATGGTGTGTCACAAAATAGTCAAGTTACAAAAAATCCGAATTCAATTTTACAAGAATTTATAGAACATTTTTAAATTCACAACATAGTAAAATTTTGAGAACCTGCATGGAACCTTATATGGAAAACAAGGTTGTCTGACCACATCTGACTATTGCTGTCGGTCTCTAAATATCAGGTCAAAATATTTTTGTTCGCCTCTTATATCCTCCATACACTAAACGATTATAACAACCGATAATTAATGAGAATATATTGAACCAAGGAAAACATCCAAAATGCTATATAGTCGTCCAATTTAGTAATAAAAAAAATTCCATGTGTTGAAACCGAGAATCGGAGGGATCCAAACTGTGAACACTTTTGTGATGAGATATTTTACCCATTGGAAACCAATTATAGAACCTTCAGCTCAAATCATAAAAGTGCGGAGTATATGTCAAAATTAAAAGCACAAAGAAGAGGACGACAACTGAATATGAACTGGAATTTTCTATTTGATTTTTGAGTCAAAATACCTAAAATATTGCTGAATTTTTTATGGAGGCTAATCAAAAATGAACCTACATTGAATATTTTCTGCTAAAGCGGAATATGTCCTCACACGAAACTATACTAAATTTTTTTCTGCAAAGATGTTTGAAAAACGCTAGGAATATTACTAAAACAAAAACACTCCAAGAATACGAAATACAGAATTATAGCCCCAACCATTAGAAAATGTGGCTAAAACTTGGGGACTACCTCATATTAAAACGATGTGTCCCATTTTAGAAGTAGGGGAGACTGGGGCACCTTCGGCAATCGCGTTTTCGATATGAAGGTATCGAATATCGAAATAAATAACTGACACAAAGTTTGAAATTTCTAGCTAATAAACTTATTTAGATACATAGGTTTTTGTATTTTTATAGATGTTTCTGTAATATTTCAATTCCATTTCGTAAGTATTTCGTGTATAAAACTTTTTAAATTTTTAAGACAATATTATTAAAAAGTGGTTAACTACGATGTGTATTATTATAAAAATATAATGTTTTTACAAAAATGATCGAAAAAAATGAAAAAATCTATAAAAAGTTCATTCGGGGTACATTCGGCCATATACAGATTGTGCAATATTATTTCCTTAAAATGTTTTTGAGTTTGTCTTTAAAAATAATCCTTTAATATGGTTCCAAATTGCATATATAAGATCAAACGTGCTTGTATTGACAAAAATGCGATAGAAAACCCCTGTTTCTGATGATGTTTGCGACCTTGAGATGTAAACGTCCGCCGCTAGAAAATAAAGCCCTATAATTATGTGGCGTATTTAAACCAAATAGAGCCTTTAGAGGATCAGAATTTCAACCAGACCGATAGCGATGACAATTACCCGGCTATGACTATGGTGGCGAATGTGCCGCATCAAATGCCGAAGCTACCCTGGGTTGGGGCACATTCGGCGAATTTGACTTTTTTTACAAAACTGTAAAATTTGTTAACTAATGCTATTTTTTATATCTTTTTGGTACTATTTTTTATAATTAAGTGTCAGAGGACAATAATCAGCCATAAAGTTGTTATATATGTTGAATAAGTACTGAGATATAGAGCTCTAAAAAAAAAGTGCCGAAGGTGCCCCAGTCTCCCCTACTAGCATACTATCAACTAAATTTTAAATTTCGATCTTTAATATTGCGATTTTAATATGAACGCACTAGGTTAAAACGACAATCGACAGATTTTTTCGTATCAAGAATGTGGGGTCTTCGGCGAATATTTCAAAGTATTGTAAACTTAAACTAGTTTTAAGTACAAATTCGTATTATATGTTGTTGAATAAATAAAGTTCTGAATGAGGAACAGACTATGTGTCTGGTGGATGTAATAAATTCTGACCAAAGGCTATATTAGGCGTTTCGTCCGGACAACAACTAAAATGACTTTAAACAAGTGAAAAAGAGTCAGTCGGTGTTACCGACAGTTATACCCTTAGCCTTTGGTTCTCATACTCGATTTACATAAGGTATAGGTTTCTATCAAAGAGGTTTCGAATTTAATGTTGATAAAATTGGTTATTCAATTCGCTTCAAATTTAATTTACAAGTTTACAAAATATTGACCCTTTGTGGAAGAGGTACCAGAAGCAGAGGACGGACGAGTCAAACCTTCAAAGCTTTTCTAGGATTGCTAAATTGTGCAATGTTTGGTTCAGTGTAATATTGAATTTACCAGAAGGAGTGGACCAAAGGATGCCATCTTCCGACATTATCTAGACTTGGTAAAGGTAATAAATTGTACAAAGTTCAAGGTAATGAATTGTACAAAGTTAGTTCAAATCGGACATTCCATTCGCCTGATATTGGATTTATAAATATTGAAAAGTTCGACCATTTGTGGAGGAAGTATGGATGAGTGGACCAAAGGGTCTCATCTTCAGAATTAATCTAGGCTTGGTATAGATAATAGGTTGTACAAAGTTTGGTTCAAATTGGATGGTCTTCTCGCATGTTATTATAAAATCAATTTTTTGCACAATTTTGACCATTTTCTTGTATATACCTTCTTTAGTGTATAAATATATAGAAGAGATACACACGTTTCTGGATATAGTAAAAAGATTTTTCCACCCCGAACTCTAAACAGTAAAATACCCAGTTCTAAAATAAATTTCTGAGCCTAAGCAGCAACCTATTCTATTAGCGCATTCTCTCTATAAATCAGTACACTGTGAACAGGCTCTGCAAAGGTCTAGGCACAACTGTATACTTAAATATGAAGTAATTTAAACCAAACTAGGTACACGTCATTTTAGGCTCAAGGTTAAATTCCGATCAACATAATCGGAGTGGTATATTTGGAATACTTCATGCTTCGTTTGCTTTATATCGATTTTAATCAATAGGGTTAGCCCTTGGGTCAAACAAATGAGGCGTTTCAGGATAATAAATACAAGCTCATAGTCGGATTGACGAAATATATAAATCAAGTCAAAAAATAATTTAATAGATTATCATTGGGAGCGATGGGTATATATTAATTATATAAATGCACAAAGACACTCGACCCGTCAAAAGCCTGGATTAGGACACCGATACGTCAATTCGATTTATTTTGATATTTATGAAAATGGCAAGAATACAATAATGGATGATTAGGAAACGTCAGCAAAAGATGGTAGAGTAGAAATTTTCGGATTAGTAATGACGAGACAAAAAACACGTATAAAGATCTATAATACAATGAATAACCCAAAATAAATTGAAGGAACCTAAGCAAGGACAATTTTGTGACTAACACCATTATCGATGAACAATTATAAACATAATAAACAGCATTCATCGTCGTGAAGATGTTCAAATTAAAAATTAGAAAAGGCCACAATATTATGAATTTGGTCTCACGAAACTCAGTACACATTGGCTCTAGAACTAAAATTAATGCACTCAAAAATATCGATATATTTTTAGGTACATTAATTTTAGCTTTGAAAATTTATCTTTGACAGAATGCCGCTCTCATTATGTATATATCATTATGCTTGTACATATGTATGTAATTTATTAGATTAATATCCCTTTTAATAGAAAAAGATCAAATGAAAATTATTTAAGTACAAATTATGTTAGGGAAAATATTTTCACAAAGCTTTTAAAAATTGATTTCTATTTTGAACGATAGTTAGAATTTTAATGTAGTTGTACATTCTGATTCGCATTGTGTTAATATTTTATAGTTAAAAGTGTCGATATTTAATTTACTGCTTTTAGCTTTGTGAAAATATTGTTGTTTTTTGTAAGTAGATTCCAATTTCAATTATTAACTATTATAACCAAATATTAGTGGAAGACAGTGAGAGACAAAATAGAGACACATGACAGGAAAGGTTTTCAATAGAGAATAGTAACCACATTTCTTTTTTGTTGTAATGATAGTTTTAAACATTTATGGAAGTTTCAAGTTTTATGTTTTTTTTTTCTTAATGAAATTCTATATAACTAAGGCAAATTAAGTTTTTTTGTGTTTAAACAAAAATCATGATTATAACTAAAAATAAGAAATTTAATAGAAAACTAAATATAACAAAAATGATAAGAAACCAAAACTAGGGTGCTTTGTTTTAGCAAATGATTTTTTACAATTTTTTTTTTTAATATATATTTTTTCATAACTTTTTTTCTTTTTTAGAGACACAAGATGCAATAGGCCCGAAAATATGGTTGTATGCACGAAAACCAAATTGTTTAAATAACCGATTCTTTAATTGTTTTTAAGCCAACACCAGACGTTAATCAAACACGGTTTAACTTTTAAGGGGGTTCTCATTTTTTTCAAAATAAATAAAAAAATTTAAAGTATTTTTAAAAAATACTTTTAAAAAATTGCACAGTTTTGTGATTTTTTTGTTTAAATATGGAGGGAATTTTTTTGTGTGGATTTTTTTATAAAACAACAAATAAAATTAAAAAAAAATGTTAAACAGTATTTGATTAACGTTAGCCTCTTTTCATTTCAAAACCATTTTTCGTTTTAACCCTTTCTAGATGTTTTTGTTCCATTTATTTTTTGTAGTTGAATTTTTTGCAACAAAAACATTTTTGAATTTTTGTAAATTGTAATGTTAGATAGTTGCCACATTTCTTGGTTTTCTAAAAATTATTATTTTTTGTTTGTGCAAATTTCTTGTCTATTTTTTCAATTTTTTTTTCTTAATTCTAATCCAAAAAAACTAAGCTAAAAAATAATTCAAATAATAAAAAAATATTTAAACTTATAAACTAAAGTTAAAGTAGAGTTTAAAGGTTAACCCAGGGTTTTATAAAAGGTTAAAAGTGGGGAAAATGGGGGCATGTAGGGGATGGGGAATAAATGTTTTCAAACTAAATTATTTTTGTTTCTATTTTTCTTATAAATAATTTTGAAATATTGCAATCATGTTGGTAGCCCTCTTAAGCTGGCTTAAGGCAAACACGGTTTTTTAAGTATCATGGAAGCACTTACTTTTACTTAAATGCTAATGTGGAATGTATTGAGCAAAGTAATGGAGTTTTAATATTTTTTTGTTTAGTTTTCAAAATAATTTGAAACATAAAAATATTATTATTAATAAAAAATTAAAAATAAAAATTAATATATATTTTTTAAATAAAAAATATTTAAGAACAGCTGCTAAGCAGTCTATATATGTATGTAAATCCTAGGGGATGGTAGACATTTTGAAATATTCGATATATATTTTCATCAGAAAAATAAAGAAAATTGAAATGGGGTCAGGGTTCGATTTTGAGCAATTCAAAGTGAGGAAAAAGAGGCTTTTCTCAGCCAAACTCTTAGACCTCATCCACTAAAAATCATAGGGATTTTCGAATCAGTATTTTCAATCAATAATTATTTCAATTCGATAAGAGAATAAATTACTGAATTAGCTGCCAGGAAAAGGCGAATTAGAAAACGTTTCTTATACCCCCGGATTATAGAAATGATAAATATTACCCGGTGGCCGTGTCAAGGCCCGCTTGGCAGCACTAGCCGCCGCAGCATTGGCTTCATGTTGAAATGCATTTTCATACGAACGCTTCATGGAATGTGGCAATGTGCCCGCTGCAGCGGCTGCAGCATTTGCCGCAGCAGCTGCTGCCACAGCATAACTACCACTGTTGGCAGCAGCTGACTGCGCCGTTTGCGGTGGCATCATACCGGTGGCAAACTGATAACCCTGTTGGGCCTGCATATAACCCAAGGGACTGAAGGTTTGAAAATACGGTCTTGGCATAAAAACAAATTGTGGCTGACCGGCAGCAGCGGCGGCGGCAGCAGCAGCTACCGCGGAATGTGCCCCAGCGCCACTTGGTCCACCCATGGCAGCAACACCCGGATGCTGCATAAACAACGGATTCAAATTTGTATACAAATGTTGTTGTTGCTGCTGCTGATGATGCTGTTGGTGTTGCTGCTGCTGATGTTGTTGTTGCTGCTGCTGTTGATGGTGTTGTTCAACAGCGGCAACAGCCGCAGCTTGTTGGCGTGCCATTAAATTATGCTGAGCAATAAATTGAGCTTGTTGTTGAGCAATAAGGGCTGAGTTATGGGCAGCAGTGGCCGCAGCTGTGGGTGGGGGAGGCAGGGATAAATTAAAGGGGAATGTCATGGCAGCCTGAGGGCTGACAGCCGAAGCGGTGGCTGTATGCACCGCCAATTGATTTGGCGGCGAGGCAAGAGTACCCACAGCAGCGGCAGCAGCATTTTGTGCAGCAGCTGCTGCTGCCACTGCCGATTGAGCCAGGGAAGGATGTTGTACACCAGCATGAGCTGCAGCCGGTGCAGTCATGTATGGTGAAATACCACCTGCCGCCGCAGCAGCAGCACCCAAAGGTACAGGCGGGGCTGCTGCGGGCACTGCAACTGCATGCGGTGGTTGTGTCAAAGCTGCCACAGCAGCAGCTACCGAGGGCTGTGATTGCAAGGCATGAGCATGGGAATGAGGATGGGAATGGGCATGGACATGAGAATGAGCATGCGTATGAGGACTAATAGCTTGTGCGTTGGCCGGCGGTTGTTGTGCTAACATACCCGGTGATAATAAAGATGGCTGCTTGCCACCCGCCAAATGTGCATGGGGATGGGCGGCAGGAACTGGTGATTGTAGGCCACCATTGAGTACCATATTCATGTCATCACCCGAACACTGGAACACTTCAATGTAACGGTATTTCTTGCCGAACACCATAAATTGGTGGTGTTTACGTTGGGCACACAAGCGGGCCGATTCTTCGGAATCCATTTGTATGAAGGCTTCGCCACTGGGTTGACCCTGAAAGTACACAAACAAATTGTTAATAGGGGCTATAGGAATTTGCCAAAAAAAAATGAGAACTTACCTGGGCATTTATCACCATGTGTACACCTTGGAAGATGATATGCTTGGCAAAATCATCCAGGAAATGTAGAATATGTTCCACCAATGCCTCATAGGGCAGGCCACGCAAGCGTATGCAATTCTTGGTAGTGCCAGAGGTAATCAAATGCTGAAAATCACAGACAAAAGGAAGGAATTAATAAAAAATAGAATTTGGCTTTACGTTGGGCGCCATTTCAAAAGAAAATATCTCATTTGGAGAT